TGTTGGCTGACCCTGAAGTTAGCGTCGCCCTGGTTCCCTCGTCAAAAAGCCAATGGGGTTTTTCCTTGTTTCAGATATTCATCCATCTTCAGTCTGTTTCCTGATTTGTTTTACAGGTTGGGCCTTTCAGATCTGGACCCTACCCACTCCCACTCTGTCTCAGAGTGTCAGTGTCTCCTTCACAGCTGAATGAAGCTCCTACATCAAGGTGTAGGATGTAAATACAGCAGCAAACTGTGGGACACTCCTCCCTCTCTGAGGAGGTAAAGGAGCTGTTGTTATGTTTGGTAACCATGGAGAAAAGTCAAGTTACTCCCATTTTATGTTCTTTATGTCTGTTTGTCTCACTTTTATTGGATTCATGTTGCTAGTCAGTTTGGGACGGCACTCTGTGTAGTGGACACGTGACACGTGGCGTGAGCGTGGAGACAGAGTGGTTGTGGGTAGGGAGAGGGTGCAGGCAGTGGTTCTCTCCTCATGAGTCATGTTGTGTTCACTTCCTGCCTTTGTCCGTTTGCCGCCTGTTTTCTGTCAAGTTAATGTTCATGTGTTTGTGTCCAGTTCCTGTTTTATTTTGAAATGTGGTCTCACTCTGTTTAGTGTTACTTTTACTTCCTGAGTTTTCTGGCCTTTGTGGATGACCTCATGTGTTTTACCTGTGTCTTGTTTCACTCACCTGTGTGTAGTAAGTAATCAGCCCTTGTGTATTTAAAGCCCAGTGTTTCCCCCGTCAGTTCATCCCCGTGATCATGGTGCCTCTGCTCCGTCTCCTGTCTGCTCTCTTGTGTTCATCTCACTTGGCTTTTAGTTTAGTTTTGGTTCCTCTTTCTGTTGGACTTTCAGTTACCTGCCTTTTGTTCCAAATCCACCTGCCCACTGCTCTGACTTTGGGTCCTCATTTCAACTGACCTACAAACCTAACAGGTTTGCCACTTATCTGAAAATTGACCAGCGTAACCTGCAGGTAGTGACTCACCTGAGCAGCAGAGGGAGGAGGACAGAGGACAGGGGGAATTACAGATACTGGCTCATGTCTGTGTTCTTCATCCTTTGTAAACATCACTCAGTATTGTGAGGCCTGTTATGGTGTTGACATTTCAGATTTGTTTCCAGTGAGATATCATTAAATGTATATAGTGACTTTGCTGTTGTAAACATTACTGCTGCTGCTCAAGAAATCTGAACCAGCTTCTGGATAAATTCCTGGATCGTCAGGTTATAAATGATGATGAAATGCAGTCGGCCAGAGCAAAACTCAGAGCAGACAAAGCACGACATGTGATCGACACGGTGCGGAACAAGGGAACTGAAGCCAGTTCACTTCTGATCGTTGCTCTCTGTGAGGTGGATCCACATCTTTCCAGAGTGCTGAAATTAAGCTGAAGCAAAAACAAGAAACTGAGGAGTGTGATGATGAATCTCTGTAAGAGCTGACTGTTTCACTTTACTTATTGTCATCTTTGAATGAAAGGTTTTAATAAGTGGACTTTCAAGCTCTCAAAGTGATTGAGTTAAGAGGGAGAAAGGGGTGTTGTTCTGTCATTCAGCCACTAGATGGAGGCAGAACTTCACTGATGGACAAAGAAGAAGCAGCTGGAGCATCAGATAGATGTGAAAATAATTATTTAGAAAAACATCAAGAAAGATTTCCAAGTGAAGATTATGAACCTGAACCTGGCTGCATAAAACTACTTAGGGCTAAGGTGTCCCTTAAATTTTCATCTAAGGGCCTGTGTTTACAGAGTGTTTTTCTTGGTGCTGGGTCGAGCCTCATTCCAGCGCTTCATAAAAACAAGCGCTCACCATTTTTTTTTTTAATGACAACAACATCTTGACATGAATGTTACTTAGATAGGACAGGATTAGTCACGGAATCCGACTTGCATAATGTGGTCTTCTTTTTTTCTTTTTGTTTTTATGTTTGAATGAAGTTTTGTCACATCAGTTTAAAGAAGATAATTGGTTGAAATGTACTTATTGAAATGCAATAGCCAGTTGAATTTTAGCAGCTTGGAGCATCAACTTCTTGATGATGTTCAACAACTGCCTGGATAACTTTTGATTTATTCTGATTTCAGTGTAACTAAATTTCTGACCTGTGAGATTCTGTGACATAAAAAATAAAGATGTAATAAACAACTTAAACTCCTCACAGGTCACAGAGGAAAATAACTAAGTACATTTACTCCAGTGCTGCACTTCAGTTAAGTTTTGATGTACTTGAAATGTACTTTGAGTGTACATGTATATGAGTGTTTGCATATATAGCTCCTTTGTACTTCTACTACACTTCACATCAGAGGGAGATATATTTGCCTGACAGCTTTAGTTAATTTACAGATTCAGAATACTGATGCAAAATGACATGATATATTACTTTAGATTAAACTACACAGCAGCATCTGATCTGAAGTGCAGAAAAACATTAAAGTGCATAAAATAAAGAATGAATAGACTGTGGAATAAACAGTGAGGAGATATGATGACACTACATCTATACAACAGTGTGTATGAACGTGCTGCAGTATGGACAGTATGTGCAGTGGTTACAGTAGGCAGTGCAGGTATAAGTTAGTGATACACATAGTAGACTGTTATACAAAATAATCAGCTGGTGGTACGGTATGAACACAGTGTACAGCATGGTCAGTAGTATATGTGAATGCAGGAGTGTGGATAGTGCAGTGCATAATATACATTATATATTTCCATTATTCTGAAATGAGCTAGTCTGCATGATGGGTACTTTTACTTTTTGTACTTGAAGTATATTTTGATACTAATACTTTGTACTTTTACATGAGTCAAATTTTGACTGCAGTACTTGCAACAGAGTTTGTCTGAGCTGAGGTGTTGCTACTTTTTGGCCTGCTCAAATAAAAGATCAGAGTATTTCTTTCCCCACTGGCTGTAACCAAAGCAGCCATGTAGCACAACATTGCTGGGTGTTTCGTTGATAAGTGGCATCGTAAAGTTACTGCAGACCTCACGGAGGTTCCTCTTCTCTCAGAGTGATGAGAGTGCCGCGCATCATTGTTCACACCAAGGTAAGTGGTGGTCAACAAGACTGTCTGCTCAGTTAGCAATTTAGTTTTTCAGTTTTTATATTGGTTAGCTATATTTTACCGTAGACTGAATAATATAATGTACGCGGCTACTGTGACGTCAGCCGTTGGTTTGTGGACTCACATTTTAAGCCTTGACAGGTTGAAGACAACCTGTCGCTCACAGTGAACACAGCCTTAATTTTGCGTAACTTAAAGCCGTAATGAAATGTAAACAGGTGATTTATTTAAAGTTTAACCCCCTGTACATTTATGATAATAAAGGAAATTAACAAAGAGACTGAAACTTTTTTTTGTACCAGGCTGTATACATGTAAACACCTCTGTTGGAAGCTTCGGCAGTTTTGGGTCTGTGGGGATTGATTCACTTCTGGAGGCAGCCTCAAGTGGAGAATAGAGGGACTTGTGCTGGCTTAATTTTTAAGCCCCAGAGGTTGCCACTTGGATTTTTGGATTTTACCCGTTCCAGACAGGACCAGCCAGCTGAGAGCATTCCAGGCATTGTGTAGTATGTCATTTACCAATAATAAACAGTGTAAGAGAATGAAAAAAATATATCTAAGACAGGTAGGGATACGTAACATTATGAAAAAATGTCATGGTATAGTATCTTAAATAAACATTCATAATATGTCAGTGTAAATTATGTCTCAAACAGTTGCATAAAAATGTCATAACATGATATGAAATAAAACATGCCATAAACTGTAAGAGAAGAGCATGACATATTTCATATTGAAAAAAGAAAAGTCATACTCTAACATACAAAAGTACGTCAGGTGTTTTTCATGATTTTGGACGACATGCTATACTATGACTGTTTTTCATGATTTTGTACGACATGCTACACTATGACGTTTTTTCATGATTTTGGACGACATGCTATACTATGACTTTTTTCATGATTTTGGACGACATGCTATACTATGATGTTTATTCATGATTTTGGACGACATGCTATACTATGACTTTTTTCATGATTTTGGACGACATGCTATACTATGACTTTATTCACGATTTTGAACGACATGCTATACTATGACGTTTATTCATGATTTTGGACGACATGCTACACTATGACTTTTATTCATGATTTTGGACGACATGCTATACTATGACTTTTTTTCATGATTTTG